AAGAGGAGGGTCAAAGTTCAAGCACCTTACAGAAAAAGCCTTGGTAGAAGTCCTGATATTCAGAGTAGCAGCTGTGGGGAGCGCTAAGCACTCGTTGTCTCTCACAGGAGAGCTCTGCACACGCAGTACTCACAGGTTGTGGGCACACATCAGGCACTCGTTGTCGTAGGTGACCCTGTCGGTACCGCAGATGGGGCTGAGGGCTTTGTTGCAGAGCAACACCACTTTGCCATCCTCGTTTGTTGTGTTGGGATATTTACTGCAGTCCACCTGTTGAGGGAACATGCAACAAAGCACTGGTGAAAGCTTACTTATGGGAAGCAAGGAGATCTGGTGAGTAAGGCCACTTAGGATACCACCACAGCAGGAAAATGCTTTTTTGTGTCACTATGACGCCATTTCATGTGAAGATAACGAACACAAGAGTCTAACATCTCATATGTCCCCTTATTTAACATTTGAATTATTTCTTGGGGGAGTCAATAAGCGCTTTGGCCACTCAGAAGCAGGGCATGCCCCTTGTTTTGCCCTTGGTTTCACTTACAGGGACAACTTTGCATTCTCCATCGTGGTCTTTGCTGACATTCGTTCCATATTCTCTGGAGAGGGAAAGACAAATGTTAGGAAGTTCAGCAAAGACTCCTTGCTACATCCTAGGGGCTGGAAATATGTAACTAATAGAAGGGAACGCTGACTCTTTATCAGTCAGTCTTACATATATTTTTTGAGAAGGCAGAGCCATCCTCCCTCACCAGCTAACACTGAGAGGTTGGCAGGGTTGTAAAGACCCTGAGAGCTTTAGGACCATTTTGGGCAGTTCAGAGCAGAGCAACTCTCCACCCTTTTGCTCTGCTTTGCTGTGATGAGATGTGCCCTAGGGGCTTCCATCTGGCCGATCCTTGAGCTGGAGAATAAAGTACACCAGCAAAAGAGAGACATGGCGACTAAAGTCATGTCTAGGCAACGGAGTGCCACGCAGTGATACCCAAGCTCATTTTGAAGGAATTAACACAAGTGACTTATGACAGATCACTGCTTGTTGAAGAGTGGTGCTGCCAGGAGTCCTAAGCATGAGCCTGAGGTCTCCTATGCAGTACGTACATGTTGTAGGCACAGAGCAGGCACTCATTGCTGTAGGTGGTCCCATCAGTACCGCAGATGGGGCTGAGGATCTTGGTGCAGACCAACACCTCCTTGCCTTCCTCATTTGTAGTGTTGGGATACGTACTGCAGTCCACCTGCCAAAGGAACATCCAGCAGCAGGGTGGAGAAGACATTTTACATTCACGACTCATTTTGTACGAGACAGTGACCAGATACAACCGGCAGTGGGTTTTTCACTACCACAGCACAAACTGGTGCTGGTGGGTCAATCTGGCAACTGGTGAATCGTTCCTGCAGAGACCTCCCCACACAGCAGGAGAGGAGGAGGAGGAGGAGGAGAGGGCTGTAGGCATGCAGTCCCCAGATGGGGTAAATCAGTGGTGGTCTCTTACACTCCCTTGGCACCATTTTACAAAGCCTATCCACTGGTACCTCGTTCTTATATTCTTGTGGCCCCTCCAGTGCACTTCTGTTTCTATTCTTTCATTCTCAACACACTGATCATGTTTTTTTCAGAGGAGCAAGACTAATGACCTGGTGCGTGGAAGCTGGAGTGTCTCATAGTATTTTATTCTTTCAGTAGGTTGCCTTCGGGTAGGCACCGATACCACAGTCTATTGCTATCAGTTTAGAGCCAATCACATGTGACCAGCTTAAAGCTTAGACCAGTTTAAAGTTGATGAAAAATGAATTAATCAAAACATTTTCTATCATTACTACTACTACATTATTAACAGATAGCACAGATGTAGAACCAAGAACAGTATAATTTAATGTTTTACACTGTAAGTATTAAAACACTAAACATTTACAACGACACTAGTTTCACCCTAGGTGAAAAACAGCTAAGCATCTACAGGCCTGAGCTTTTTCCCATTCCTTTGGTTATGTCTGTACCAGGCCATATTCTTGAGAAAAGTGGCAGAAAGAAATCTTCCTCTCACCTCAACCCCAAAGGCAGCATCTGGAAAAAGAGAGGCAGAAAGTGTGAAACAAAGCCAATATGATAAGACCTCATTTAAAGCTGGAAATCTGGATGTAAAATTCCTATACACAGGACAAAACTGAATGATTTCCAGTGATTAGTTTCCTGAACTAAATAAACTATATATGAATCTTCTTTTATCCTATGTTGGTAAGTATAATAGCATTGCTTATTGCTGGCTGCGATGAAACATGTTTTTGAATAGCTTTGTTCTTTTTTATTTTGAGATAGGTAGCCTTATTAATTGAAAATAGAATAGCTTTTCCTTCCTTATCTTTTTACACATCAGTTTTGGCCCTAAAGAGCTGCTGTTACAAGTCTGAACAGAAACCTGAGTCAATACAGATAAATGCAAATGCAAATAGTCACCCACAGGATAAGCAAATACACACAGCATCTGTTGTCAGGAACATGCATTTTAAAGAAGCTGAGCGTGGAAAAAAAATTGTCTTTGACTTTGTAATATTATCAGATGTAAATATGCAGTGAGAACATCAGACTCTGGCCTGTTTTCATCTCGTTTCTCCATTAGCAGCAAAAGCATTGCAGGAAAATTGCCAGGCTCCTGCAAAGAACTTACTTGTGCCATTACAATATTTTTTGCGACTAGTTACCAGTGCGACTAGTTACTGGAGGTCTGACCACCTTGGCCTTGTTCCAAGTATTTATCCATTTGTTGTAATTGTACAACAAACGTAAGCAGTGTAACAGCATTAAAACAACAGTGTGAAAAGTGTAACAGCACTAGTTACCAGCACAGAACTCCACTTGCAGCTATTTTTGTTTATGATGGACAACCAGCTACAACAGGGACCCGTTTAAGATTGTCCTGAAATCTGCTCCAGCATCTTCTGCCAACGTACTGAGGCAGCCTAGTGCTTTGTAGGAGAAGATTTTCTCTCTTTGCAGCCACTATCTTACCCTTTTAAAGACAGCCAGGACTCAGACATGAAGTCTTTGCAGCGCCTTGAGAGTTACTCACCTGGGAAGCAGCAAAGCGCGAAGGAGAGGAGCACAAAAACACCTGCCGTGGTCATGGTGGAAGTATTTCCTGAGTCTGCAGGCTGCCTGCTCCTGCTCTGCTCGTGAGATGGGTTCTCCAAGGCTGACCGTAAATATATACAAATGCAATGTCTAAACTGTTCAACTGTAACATAAACCAACCAGCAGAATCTGTCACCAGTACAATGAGGCTGGTAATATTTATTGAGGTCTTGACTTTCAGGTAATGGTCTGTGTCTGCTAGGCAATTGATTTTGGCTGGACATCTGGTTAATAGCTTGAGACAAGTATCACATGTTCTCAGTGGTCAAAACCAAACAAACAGCTTTTTAGAGAAAAAAAAAAAAACACTCTTTAGGATTCTAGTAGAAATGTAAAGAGCACAAAACATTGAGGGTAGCAAACAGCGGGTCCTTCATTTGCCTCTGCAGAGAAACGTCTCCCATTAGGGAGCAGCTTAGGCAGAGCCTGCAGTACTACCCTGTTTGCAGATCGAGCTATAAGAGTCTCTGCTTTCCTGTCTGGTTTTGGGG